GTTCTGGAACGGCCTTCCAAGGGAAGTAGTGGGGGCAAAAGATCTATCTGGTTTCAAGATTAAACTAGATGGGTTTATGAAGGGGATTGTTTGATGAGATAACAGGATCTTGGTAACTAATTGTCCATTCATTATCAGTGGGAATAGGTCAATGGAGGGATGATAGGAGTTACTATAGAGAACTTTCTGGGTGTCTGGCTGATGAGTCTTGCCCACATGCTCAGGGTTTAGCTGATCGCCATATTTGGGGTCGGGAAGGAATTTTCCTCCAGGGTAGATTGGCAGAGGCCCTGGAGGTTTTTCGGCTTCCTCTGCAGCATGGGATACAGATCACAGCTGGAGGATTCTCTGCATCTTGGGGTCTTCAAAGTATTTGAAGGCTTCAATATCTGAGATATAGGTGAGAGGATTATTCTAGGAGGGGCGGGTGAGATTTTGTGGCCTGCACTGTGCAGGGGATCAGACTAGATGATCATAATTGTCCCTTCTGACCTTAAAGTCTATGAGTCTATGACTACTCTGAACCCTCTTGTATATAAATCCTGTTTTTAAAAGGTGTGTGCTGCTTTCTGAAATTTGCACTTCCATGAAAACAGAGTTAGTATGCGACAACTTTTGTTAAGACCTTCATCTACCATATAAGAAGAAAATATTTTCTTTAAAAAAAATATATATTGTTTTGTTTAGGTATCACTCTGTGTCTCGCAGCCTCTCCCTCCGCCCTCAGTTGCAGTATTTCCTGTCCCCTCTCCCATGCTCAGGGGGAGATGTGCAGCCCAGCCCCCAGCCAGGCCTTGCCATGGCAAGGCCTTGGCCTGGCCCAACCGCCCAGCAGCCGAGGGGGGAGAGCTGGGCCTGGTGAGGCCGGGGAGGGGGACAAAGGGGTTAGGGCTGGGGCTGGCCTGGCCTCCCACACCCTCAGCAACCAAGCCTAGCTAGGGTTTCCAGATGGTTAAACCAAAAATTACCGAACACCCCTCCCTGCTCCCCCCCCAAAAAAAACAAAAAAAGCCAACAACAATGGGAAAAAATTCTGTTGAGGAAAAAAAGGGGGAGACCAAAGTTAAGAAAAAAAATTATCCCCGTCGGGCTTCCTGTCCTTCTCACTCCCCTGCCCCCGCCAGACGCGGCAGAGGAAAATTGTCCCCGCTGGGCATCCGTCTGAAGGAAACAGGAAATACCAGACCTTTCACATGGATGGGGGACTCAAATAATAGACAGTCCGGGTGAAAACTGGACACCTGGAAACCCTATGAGTGGCCAAAAAGTTGTTGAGCAAACCCCCCCCCCCGAGTTTTATTAAACAAAAAAATAAAACAGCATGGCCCCTTTAAGGCTTTTTGCAAGCAGCCATCTCATTTTCTTGATCAGAGCCAGAAGGCAGCTTCCCTGAGGAACCAGGTAAGTGGGGGATCCGGCAGGGGGAGCAGGGGCTGGGCCCGGTTGCTGAGTGTGTGTAGAGTAGCCAGGTGTCCGGTATTTTCACCGGACAATTTAGGTGTCTAGTATTTTCTGAATTATTTTACCGTACAGGAGGCGAAAATAATGGACTGTCAGGGTCAATACCAGACACCTGGCAACCCTAGGCCTAGCCTAGCCTAGCCTAGCCTGGCCTGGCGCAGCCTCAGCCCTGCTCAATTTCCCAGGGACTGGGGGGAGGGGAGGGGAGGGGAGAGGAAGAGAGGCCAGGACCAGGCTCAGCCCGACCCCTGGGGGCAGAGCCAGGCTTGGCCTGGCATGGCACACCGAGACCCGGCCTTCCCTGGCCACCGGGGGCAGACCGGCCATGGCTTGACCTTCCTGGGCCACCAGCAGCAGGGCCTGGTTTGGCAGGTCACAGCCCCGCCTTCCCCAGCCACAGAACCAGATTTGGCAAAGCCTCGGCCAGAAAAGGGGGGATTAGGGTTAGGCTGGGAAAGGAGAAGAGGCCCAAGCTGGTGCAGCTGCATCCTGGATCTCCCTAGTGGCCAGGGGGAGAGCTGGGGTTGCCTACCACCCATGAGAGGGGTTTTGCAAGCGTAGCGAGCCAGAGACGTACCCCCTACTTCCCATTAAAAAAATATAATCCAGTGTTCAATTGCAAGGATGATACCAGAATGCCCTGTCCATGTTCTTGCAATGCCAAATAGGAGGAACACTCATATCAGGTAAGTTGGGCGGTCAAAGAAAAATAATTCTTTATAATTTTCAGAATTTTGAAATTGTTTAATTTCCAATTTTGAAAACTACTATGGTTTGTGCTTAATTTGTTCATTGGGTCCTTCCTCTTCCTTTCATTCCGCTCCCTTCCTTCATTTTCCTTTGCAAAACTGGAATTTTTGATTTTCAAGAATGGACAAGAAACAATTATTTTCGGCCACTGCAAAAAAGGAATGGCTTTTTTCTTCAATTTTTGAGTTAGTGGGAAAAAATAATTTTGCAAAAATGTCCCTTGGTAAAGTCATTTTTCAACTAAAATCTTTTGAAAGTTTCTACCAAACGTGCATAAATCTGGAGATTTGATGGACTATAATTTTCATAGTTGATAAATATGCATTGCCTTACTTGCATAGATTCTAAAAACCTAACCCCCCATGCCTATCCCCTCATACCTAACACTCTGCTGACTCTCTACTTTCACTACTTCAACTTTGCCCCATTCCTGATTCCCCTCTACCGCCTCGGAGTTTCCCCAATCATCTTGCAATGTAGTCTCTGACCACAGGACACTGCCTAGAGTAAGATTCCCAACCCAAGTATGGTTATAGACAGGGCTTGACAAATGGCGGCGAAACCTACTCGCCAGCCCCGCACTGCGCATGCGCAAGACCCACATTGTGCATGCGCGCACCGCCGGTGAACGGGGTGACCAGCTGAAATCTACTCGTCACAGGCCAGTAGATTCAGTGACTTGTCGAGGCCTGGTTGTAGAGATACATTGAAGTGAGCGTTTGCATAGAACCACTCTCTCACCAATCCTCTAGCAAAATCTAGTAAGAAATGTCTATGGATAGTCTGTTAACTGTGCTCTTGAGAAGGTCTGTAGGGGTACAATTTTTGAGAAAAGCACCATGGCCTAATGGCAAGTGCACCAGACTGGGACTCAGGTGACTTGAGTTCTATTCTTGCCCCTGGCTTCTTGTGTGCTTCAGTTTCCCCATCTGTAAAATGAGTGTTATATGAAAACTACAAATTACTTTTAAGAACTCACTGGAGACCATGATGGCTGTCCACCAAAACTAACTATTGATAAATTGCTGGAGTACCTCCCACATACTATCCCCATGAAAATAGGAAAAGCAGTTGTTTGGAAGAGGAGCTTTAAGAGCTCTGGCCACTTCTAAGAACAAAAGGACAGATCAGCTGGCAGGCCAGTGGCACTAATAGACTTCGACTGAGGGTCAGATGATTAATTCCTTGGAGCTATGCCAGTTTACACCATCTGAGTATCAATCCTAAAAGTTCTTACTAATGCCCTAAAACAATGCAATAAAAATATTTCCTGATGTAAAAACAAACACAATTTTCCTTCTGTAATATAGCAGATGAGCATGGTATATTGAAAGCTATGTTGGAACTGCAATCTACTACTTCCAGAATGGGGGAAGAGGGCATTTTCTAGTCCTCCTTGCAAGCTCCCAAGCTCTACAGAGAAGCATGCAATCTGTGATTAATTCTGCAAAAAGTCTATAATAAAGTGGGTTGGATTATGCCTCTCTGTTTTAGGGATCAAACAGTTTTGTGTCTTTGCTTTGGGGTTATGTTATCATTCTGATTTTTAGCAAAACAAGTAGTGGTATGTTGCTACTTTCTAGCAAAAGTATTTATGTTTTTATCTTCTCTGTGTTTATGCCATGAACATAACAATACATACAATAAACACGAGAAAGACATCAGAAGAGTTAATATCATGGTAAGGAAAAACAATTTATAAAAGGCTTCTCTTCTCAAAAGTTTGGAAGTGTTGAAATAAGGGCCTTCCTTCCATAAAGTCCATCTTCTCTTCTTTTTGAGACCTAATATGGTAATCAAATGATTTCTTTCTAACATTTTCATGAAAAAAAAAAACAGTGTTGTCCTCTCAAATACAAAATTATAGATTCCATCCAGGATCAGAAAGAAACTTAATTGGGAAGGAGAACGTTTTTAGTAGCATTCAGTCCCATCTTTCAAACCTTATTCATGGGAGTTGTATCATTTACTTTAATTAAATTAGTCGTACAAGTAAAATTGACCCACGTATGAAGATTGCAGGGCTTGATCCAATGTGTATGTTCCCACCATCTAAAGAAACAAGTACTTAAAAAAATAGTGTTCTATCTCTAATAACCTCCAGCTTCACCTCACTAAGAAACCACTATCTAAAAACAAAACTAGAGAACACTGACAAGTCCTTAACAAGCTTCTTTAAAACAATGCAAGACTAATACATGGGAAGATGAAGAAAACAAACAGAAAGCATCTCTACAAAATGACAATTGGTGGTATTTTTAGAAATTATATTTTATAATAGCATATTATAAATCAATTATATTCATTTATCCAAGCTGCTTAAGGATGACATTATAGGGCACCTTCCTCATAGTATGCATCAAAGCAAAACAGAGTCTACTTACCTGCAGTTACTTTATTTAGAGCAACAAGGGAGCTGAGCACCTTGTTGAAGTTCTGTCCCTGATATAGATCATTTGCCTCAAAAGTCTGAAAACAAATAGGAAAACAACATTAGGATACCAGTCACTAAAAATAATAATAATAATAATAATAATAATAATCCTGAAAGCTAGGTAAGTCTACAATTACCAATAATGAGAACACACACAAGTACAAACATTTCTTATTAAACATTTGTACTTTGTTTCTTTAAAAAAAAAAGCTACAAGGGAAAGATTGGTGTACACGTTTTGGTTTTATTTTAAACTGGAGACACAGTACAGATAGCTGTATCAAGACACAGTGAGATGGATCTTAAATTCATTCTTCCACGAGAGTTAGTTATAATGATGTAGAATAGGTCCAGATTTGGCAAGGAAGGTTTGTATAGTTAGATTTTCTCTACAATCTTGAAGCAGAAAAAGTTTTTCTTCCTGTTTTACCTGATGGGAGGGGGAGGGGGAAGGTGTTACAAGATCCAAACAAGCACAGATCATTAGAGCAGCTAGAACAGAGTTTCCCAACCTTAAATTAATGGAGATTGCCTATCTCCTAGAACTGGAAGGGACCTTGATAGGTCATCAAGTCCAGGCCCCTGCCTTCACAGCAGGACCAAGTACCATCCGTGACAAATTTTTGCCCCAAAACCCTAAATGACCTCTGCAAGGATTGAACTCACAATCCTGGATTTAGCAGGCCAATACTCAAACCACTGAGCTATCCCTCCCCCACCATAAGTCTGGACCCAAATATGGGTCGCCATTACATTTCAAAAGGGTCACCCACTGTCTCACCAGGTGGCTCTGCCCCCTCCTCCCCGTTTTTGAATTGCCTTAGGTCACCAAGTCTTCCTGAATTGTCAACATGGGTCCCCATCTGGAAAAGGTTGGGAACCGCTGGGCTAGAGCTTGGGACCTCAGTAACCACCATGTGTTCAGGAATGTGGAATTAGTCAGCACTATCCTGGGCAGATGTGACAACTCGTAGTATTGGATGCCATCAGTTGGCTAAGGAACATCTATTTAGAACACGACTGGTTATCAGCAATACCCAGAGAGATGAGCTGCCACTGAGAAGCAAGTCAGAAAAATAACTTGAATTAGGGATATTAGCGAGTAGTCGACTGAATTATCAACTACTCACTTTCCCACTCTCCCCTTACTGCTTCTCTGAGAGGCAGCAAGGGAGGGGTGGGAGAACAGGAGCTGGTACTGGGGGGGACCTGAAAGCCAGTTTCTCCCAGCACCAGCTCCGCGGTGCCGCCTCCCCACCCCCCATTGCCTCTATCAGAGGCAGCAGGGGAGGGCGCCT